CATGGAAACATCTGCTAATTAAAATCTAGGACATGTATTGTTTTATAAACATCTGCTTATTGCTAGTGCATTTTTTTAATTAAATTATATTAATATAATTAATGTATTTAATAGATATCTTTAAAATAAAAAAAAATATGCATAAATATAATATTTGAGACGGGGATGAGATGTACTGAAAGTAATCACATATCTTATCTTGTCCCATTTATTTTTGGACCGGAATGGGACTTATCTCACATGATTAGGACATAATTGGATTGATTGGGATAAGTACAAGCTAAAATTTTTTATATAATATATATCCTACCTTTTTCATATCACCCAAATTAGTCACTAGTACGCTTAGGAATTAGGATCGACGCAGATGGTTTCATCATTAACAGCAGCAGCATGAAGCATGCCGAGGGACGGTTCAAGACTCACAGCTCGCGAGGAAAACGAATTCTTGGATTCCGGAAAAGCCTAGGGACTGGTCAAAGTGTCAAAGGATGGAAGCTGAATTAGCGGCAACCGGATGAGCCTGCCGATTTGTAAGGGCAATGAGATTCAACAAAATAGGACAAGCCTCATCGAATGAGGAGATATTGAGATTCATTACTGTCCCAGGAACACTATCAAATATGCAGACGCATTGGCTAAGGCTGCTCACAGTCTTAGCGAAATGCCTACCACGCGCAGGGATTTTATTCATACTGATGACAGTGTCTCTAGCCAAGTGCTTGGCACTTTGTACAAGCTTTGTTTGACTTGTTTTACCGAAAAACTAAAAAAAAAATAGTCACTTCTCTTGTAGACAAGGGAAGGTTATGATTTTTTGTTCGGCCTGAGATAAGGGTTCCAGTTGGTGGGAATCAAGATAGGCATGGGCTCGCAGCAGAGAAATTAAATCCCAATTATTAGGTCCAATCCAGACGGAATGATGAAGCCTGACCCCGCCTTGACTGTTGCGGCTTTTCTGAAACTCCAGTGGTCTGATTGCCCAATTAAAGCCTAAAATAAAAAGAGTTGGGCCTCCTCATTGGGCTGGACTATAAAATCATCAGCAAATGGATCCACATCCATTACAATTCCATGCTTTGTATATATATTATGTTTGACCTGACCTGATTATACCTCTTTTGCATACATTTCAGGTATTGGATATATGTGGTTTTCGACCAAAAAAAAAATAGTGGTATATTATGAATTTAAAATCATTTCTGTTTAGGGCTTAATTTGGGAAGAGATTCCCAGTATAAGAATTGCAAAAACAAGAACATATACGGGGGTGAATGGGGTGCGTGCGAGCGAAGCCCATTCAATCAAATGCTGTAAGCACTATAACCCTTTTAGAATGCGTGAGGTTTTTGTTATATAAATAATAGAGTCACACTATGTTGCTTTTGATATGATTCTTCCATAGCCTGTCAATTTAAATAAAATAGATAAATAAACAGCTTGTAAACACTTAAGGGCCCTAGGTTTTGGGTCTTCGGCCTGTTGCGAACTAAAATATTTCGGGTTTAGATATTTTAGTAGATAGGCTTTTAATTTAAAGGAAGCCCACAGAAATCAGAATGGCGGAATTGTAAAAAGTTCAAAATCAAAGGTTACTGAAAAGGGAAGTTTTTTTTTTTTTTTAACAGAACTGAAAAGGGAAGGTTGAAGTGATTCAATTTGCAGAGATGGCCGGGTTGGACACGGGAGTCACAAGTACTTCACTTCGGCTCCCGTCTGCTTTGAATTTTGCCCTCCAACGGAACCTCCTCCCGTCTGTTTTCCATTTTTTCAACTGCGCTCTTACTTAGGAAACGTTACAACTTACAATTCCTCCGAACTCAGCCGCTGGAATGGAGAATCCCTAGGGAATTGGATTACACGCGTCATTCCCTAGGGAATTCTTCACCAGCAAATCACTCCATAACAAGATTCATGATAAATTACAAAATTGCCCAACCTATCTCCTTCGACAACGCGCTGTGCTTTTTTTTTTTTTTTTTTAAAAAAAATACCTTCACGGTCTTGTAATTTTGACGAGAGATGTTTCGCAAATCAATAAATATAAATATATGTGATAGATTAAAATAAAAATCAACTTTGACAAAGGCGCGGATATACCGTGGCTAGAGCCTAGATGCAATGGAAACCTGTCGAAGACTCGTCCATTTGTTCTTTTGAACGTGGCAACAATTGGACTTTATTTTTTAATTTTTCAACTTTTATCGTTATTTTGGTGGAAAAAAGAAACAAAAAGAAAATTTATTATTCGTGGGGAGTAATAAATATCGGACATGTCAAAAATATTGAATATCAATTGATAATAAAAAGAATCTCGAGCTCCCTTACACAGTTTACTCGAATGTAAAAAAATACAAGACTTTAGTAAAATAAGTGTTTAACTGAAATACGAAAAGTTACAAATCTAAATTGAAAAATTAACAGATAAAACTAAATGTTAAAAAGTATAAAATGTGAGTCTTTAATTGAGTGTTGATTGTCTTTCTTCTATATTTTTGTCTTTTATTTATAGTATTAGAGTAATGGTAACCTCTCCCTTAACACCTAGCACGTTTTGTCGAAGAATCAAGAATCTCGCAAAATTTATTGCACGGTCTTTATTTTGAGTTCTCCATTTTTAGTAATTAACCCGTCTCACAGAAATAGTTGAGCACGATGTCCATGGATTTAGGGATCACTCAAAATCTTGTCTTCTTGTTCCAACGATCCAATGTTTGTAATTGGCGGAATTTTGACATGTTTATTTTATCGTGGCCTTTTTTGGGTTTTGAGGTCAACCCTTTTGTTTTATATTGAGCCTAACTTTTTAGTTACTCAACTCAACTAGCGACCTATTTTAACTATATTTTATATTTTAGTCCAAAAACTTATAAAAAAAATATTAGCAGAATAAAATTATTTATTTTTAGAGATTATTTAAATTTTTAAATAATCTGAAATTAGAATTTGTGAATTTAAGCGAAAATTTTCTTTTTAAGAGAGAAGTAAAAACTTTTCGACATTATTTATGTCCACTCCTATCTCATTTTCGTCATTTTTTTGTACTTATTTTCATTTCATTTCATTAAAAATCTTTCCATTATACCAGCTCATATATTATCATTAATTATTACCACTTCAGTAACAGTAGAACTAAAATATACACTGTTAATCTTATAAAAATATATATATGCACGCACGCGCGCGCGCGCACAATGTTAAAGCCTAAAAGCTTTTCCCCAGCAATTTCGAAGGCTGCAAGTCGAAGGATGCTATTCAAGAAAAGTATTCTGGATATAATTTATTTATTAATATTTTCTAATTAGGTGCTAGGGGTAAAGAAGTGGCCTGGCGTGCATAAAGATGATCCAAGGCCTGATTTTGAGAACTGAGAACGGTAGAAAAAGCAGAGCAGAAGTACATGAACAAATGAAAAGCTAGTATTTATATATATATAGCAAAGCTGTTCATTTGTGGGCAAGCTATCTCTGTGTTGGTTGGTTGTTTTTATGCCCAGGAAGAGGAACAACCAGCCGGTGACCTGAAGCATCGTACCTAATGGATGAAGAAAGTGCAAATTGCTAGCTTTGCATGTTATTTTATGAGCATAAAGTAATAATAATTTACTATGCTGGGGCAAGAATCGGGTAGTGGATAAATGAGATGGCATTTAGTGGCCTAGATTCCCTTGTCTCTTTATCGTCAAGTCTGGACAGTCTTCCACACCCCATAATTCTTCATGCGACATTCTTCCATTAACCATTCAGCAGTAGGAGCTACACGCCTTTCTCTTTTTCCAACAAAAAGCACTCTTCCCTCTATCATCCGCTGTTCACCCACCACTCGCCTCTTTGATTCACCTTTTAATCACAACATGCATGGATAAACATGACGCAGTGATTTCAGTAACCGTCCCTTGCTTGTGCTGCAGAATATTGAATGGACAAGAAAGCATAGAAAAATGGGAACGACCCTTGAATATCTCATGAGTTCACAATGAAATGAGATGAAGTTGCTCAATTAAAAGGATTAGCGTATTAAGTGAAAGTATTTATGTTCTTAGTCTACGTAGTTGCAAGTTGTAACATTAATATATAGGGTAGATCAGAGAGAGAGAGAGAAAGGGAGATTGAAGAAGACGAACAGGCGCGGTTGGTGGGTTAGCATTTGGAACCGAGGTGGTGCGTGCACGACTGTTACTTTATAGTTTGTATATGGTGAGTGAGCTCATGAAGTGGAACACATATTTGGCGTCTTTTATTTTATGTATGCACAGTCTGACCCATCATTTCAGAGCGGCCACTGCACGTGCAGACCCTCAAATTAACTACTCCCTCCACTCCCTGCTTCGGAAAATCCTCTTCCAATTATCTCATCTGCACTGATTATTATGTCATTCTTTCATCCTCCTTTTCGTTTCCAGTTTCCCATCCTTTTCTATTTACGGGTATATTATACTTTATATCATTATCATCATCATCTCATAATCCTTGAAGACACCACGCATGCCAAGGAAATTATGGAATCTTACAACTTTCTGATGTTTCTAACAAATCAAATTATCATAATCTTTTGATGGCAGACAAAATTTATGTGCATTCTTTAAGCTCTCTCTTCTATAAACAAATTATAATCAAATTTGGCCAAGTATAGCTAGACTCAGTTTTGCTAAAACTGTGTCCCATGTCATCCTTGTAATAGAACAACTCAACAAAACAAAAACAAAAAAAATTCCATGTGAAAGAAACGGTTATGACCTAATGACATAGGTGCCAGTGATATAATCAATTATTGTCAGTGTCTCACAGGTCCACAAAATCTGAGAGGTAAATTTTGATTAGATCATGCTCTTTATTTCTTCAGTTTATATCATTATCATGATTTACATTTTTGTTTTGTATTTTCTTAGCAAAACGCTCCAAAACCAAATTGGTTTCTGAGTAATGGACAGACAAATGTTTACCAGCTATTTGGAGATACAGTTGTAGCAGTCACAGATAAAATTCAGTTTGACGGATAAGTTATGAACAAGCCCAAATTATAAGTTCCATTTCAAACCTGGGTAAGGGTGGGATACACAATTCACAATTAGGGAGGAGCATCTAAAACGCAAATCCTCCTCAACAATCACAACACAAGCTTCACGATGATGCTACATTATGAATCCCTGGATTACTTCCCTAGTAGTAAATTATTATGTACAGCATCAAACACACATTTTCTTTGTGGGATATGCCTAGCTGAATTATTGGACTTAGCAATGACCTATGTCATTGCCTTGCACGGACTGGGGAATTCCCTCCTGCAGGCAAGACATTGGTGGAATGGTTAGTGTTTGCAGATCTCCATAAGCATTCCAACAGTAAGGATCCAGAACCACATCTCCCTGAGCAGGAAGAAGCTCAATGTCTGAGAGCGTTAAGTTGGTACATGGGACAGAATCACTGCAGGCAAAGTGCATAGGTGGGCTCCTTATGTCATAGGTTCCTTTTATGTTTGTATAAAATATGTTCGATACTAACACTGCTGAGCTTTGGTTGGTGCAGTCCTTAGTGAGGCAGTAGAACTGGTCTATTATGATGGGGTTTCTCACTCTGTCCATGTGAATATTGCTGAAGGTTACTCCTGATACTGATCCTGATCCGCCTTGCCATGTCTTTATTCTGACCCCATTAGCTGTCACTTTTATCACCGAGTCTCTTACTGTTATGTTTGAAACACAGGCTTTGGAATTATGATTCCCCAGACTACCAATGCTGATCAGTTCATTGATAAGATGAGACTGTCATTGTTCTTGAGAATTAGTTAAAGTTCAGAAGCACAAGAAAGTTAGCTAGTAATTACCTAATGCCATGACCGGGCCCACATGTAATGTTCTTTATATCAACATCATAGCTACCGGACCCTATGGACACACAGTCATCACCTGGGGAAAAATTGAGCAAGTTAACAAGTTGGTGGCGTTGGTGAATTAATAAGCGAGAATTTGAGTTTGTGACTAACCATTCGAAACAACAGAGTTGTAAATCTTGACGTCGTTGGTATTCTCTATGTGAATTCCGTCAGTATTGGGACTTAGTGCTGGAGCTGTTATATAGATTGATTCTACGTGGACGTGTTTGCAGCCATCAAACCTGAAATGGAACTGGGGGCTATCCTTGATCCTGAGTCCTTGCACAGTTAAGTTGGAACTCATGAAAAACCTTATTGCCTGCATCATTTTCATGAACAACTATGTTCAATCATAAAGCAGATAGTCTAAGAACACAAGGTAGTAGAAGAGATTCTGAGGAGCTTACAATTGGGCTATCACAAGGTCCAGGCAATGTTGACCCATGAGGTCCCTGCAGTGCCATTGATCATGGGGATGAGCAGCTGTTCGGTTTTACTAAAATTGTTGTAACGATTTTTGATGAATTTTCAATTGACGATGAGTACCTTGCGAGGCTTACAGGGAAGGTCCCACCATTTTTGTCCCCTGCCATCAATTAAACCGCCTCCTTCCAGTGACATGCCGTCAATTCTGTAAAACACTAGCCATTGGCGTTTACTGTTGTTCTTTGGCCATGAGTCTGGCCCATCCGGTGGCATAACGGAGCCATCAACCTTCACCATGTTCAGTTCAACAGCAAAATATCAGCGAGCTTTACCTTACCCTTGCATAATCAAAAATTACAGCAGAGTTAGTACATTACCTTGAGTACCATGTCACCTTTACAAGGACCTGTGAATATAGTAGATTGAATCATGAAGGAGAAGCCACTGGGAACGAGGATGACATTTACTTCCTGATCACTCTGGCAGGCTGTGTCCCAAGCCATCTTGAAGGCCTCTGTGTCGTCTGATATCCCATCTCCAATGGCCCCAAATGTTCGCACATCAGAAAAACCAGAGGCATCGTATGGGGGTGTAGAAGGGGAGGGTGATGAAGCAGGAGGTAGAGAAATTTCAGATGACTTGTGAGAATGTGAGCACCTGTGTTTAGAATGGGAATGATGTCTGGCTTGGGCGCAAAGAAATAAAATGAGTAAAAATACATAGAATGCGGGTAGTGAAATATGGGAATGCTTCATCTTGAGCATTGTTTTAGTAGAATTGACACACAGAAAAAGAGGAGAATATGTGAACTTGTGGAGTTTAATTTCCACTGGCCAGAAACTAGAAAACCCGATGCCAAATGACTCTCTCACTGTCAACAACTATATGAAAAGACTTAATCAGTGGCCCTATATAGCTCCTTTTGAACAGACTGAATTAGGTTAGCTGAGTTTGGCAGTCGGAGTACATGCAAAATGAGAAAGCCCGAGGTGGTGTATATATATGGGTGAGCGTGTAGGACAAGTTATAGTGGAAGGCCTGCTAAAGTTTCATAGGGAATTATTTAACGGGGTTAAGAAGTGGGAATCGACAAATAGCACATAGGGAGTGAGCATGATTTGTTTAGAGAATAAGGAGCGAGCAAGTGACTGTTCTGTCCTCTGAAAAAGAGCAAGACGGAAGAACGAGAAAAAATGAGTATGACCGGTGTCCATTTCATAATCCTCCCATGTTCTTCCCGTCACTGGTCCCTCCTCTTGGTATTCCAACAGACCAACAAACACATGCATGTGTGTCAAAAACCTGACCGTGTTCGAGGCTCTTCCTGTCATGACTAAAACATATATTGCCCATTCCATCCTTAAATGAACATTCGAGTGGAATTTTGTTGAGAATTTCGCGTACATGGACACAGATTAGGTTGACAGTGCTGTGTAAATGTCCATGCGCTTATTTTGTCCGAATCTTTAATTTGCATGCGGTCTCCCATCCCATGTACTTAAATTCATTCACAAATGATTGTACTTAAATTCACGTGTGGTGATGACTGGTGATAATTCAGCTGTGCACTAGAGAGAGTTGGGGGTGGCAGGCGAAATAGAGCAAAAAAAAAAACAGAGAGAGAGAGAGGAAAAAGAGATGAGGAACCGTCCATCCACTGTGGCTTCCACCGCCCCAGGTTGAGGCCACCGTTCTCCCTCACTTTGTGGCCACTCATTCTCAGTTCATTCCTCCCTTCCCATTATTTTTTCATTTTAGATACCAACCAGTTCGTGTTAAAACCAGGCCGATCATTTTTTTATATTTTTCCTTCTTCGGATTTTATTATTTTCCACTTTTAAAACAAAGACAACTAAAACCGAGTCTTCTACATTTATATCAAGTTTCATCTTAGTTTCGATCAATAAAAGTCACTTGACTTGGTAAGCATTTAATTATAACCAACCCCCATGAAATTTGGCAAGCCCGCACTTGAGAGATCCAATTTTATTGACAATGTAAAATTTTTTTTGATAAATAGAGCCAAAAATTTAGACAAAATGTACTTATTCTGTCCGGGCTTGACAAAATCTAAATTTAATAAAAAAATTTATATAGTCAAAGCTTATGACCCAAATACTCTTAAACTTCAAATTTGTTTGGATAGTCCAAATACTCAAATTGTCATTTTTTCTCTATTTTTTCAGAAAAATCATTTTAATTTTAAAATTGATTATTTTTATTATTATAAAAAACATAAAATATAGTTTTTAGAATACTTAAAAAATGCAGAAGACTCAACTTTAAAAAAATTGTGGGTATTAAAATTTAAAAATAATATTAAAATATATTTTAAATATTATTTTAAGTTATTCCATAGATTAAAAAGATAAAAATATCAATATTTTAAATTTTCAACAAAAATATCTATCATCATATACTCAAATATATGGTCTCATAGTATAAAATAAGCTAAAAATTAAAAAAATTAATATTTAATATTTACTTTTAAAAAATGTAAATTACATTCAAGTATTCAGGCCAAGCCCAAATCTAATTAGACTTGGCCTGAACATAAAAAAGACAATTTTTTTAAGCTAGGCCTTAATATTTTTTTTAAACTTATTTAGAATCAACTTAAATTATAAGTTTTATAAATGGACAATCTGTAAATATCTTTATAAACATTCTTTAAGTTTGGAAATTGTCCTAGATGAGAGCCATGGACCCAACTTACTTAAATTTTTGTCTATAAAAAAGTTTTAGTTTTATTATTTTATATTTTATATTGATCTCAATTATTATTTTTAAAAAAATGTAAAATTTTAATTTACAATTTTTTTGAAACAAATATTAAAACCTGAATTAATTTTCAACAATTCAAATGACCGGAATCAGCACAAAATGTCAGACCAAAAAATAAAAATAAAAAATTAAAAGAATCAGCACCAAATGTCTAAATCCAATCCCCCTCGAGTGACCTGAATGCAGCAGCAGACATTCATCTATAATTAATTTAAATAATTGGGGCTTAATTTTTTTGATATAACGGAACAAAGTTTAAAATTCTTTAATCTCAGTTGCCACTGTGAAAATGGACTTATTAGGGTTTATTGTGTGACATGAGCCTCAGGATGGGGATGTCTGCTTCGGGAGGATTGGATCAATTTTTAATCTGGATGATGCTTTCGGCGTTTCTGCGCTCTCTTGTCTTCTTTTGGGCGGGCAAGTTGCTCCTTTGCTTTCACGCCATAAAACAGATTTACCAATTGTTGCCACATTTTACTGAAAAGAAAAATTCCAAACTGTTTAATAATGGAATCCATATCCCGTAATAGAGAAGAAAAGTGCATTCCCCAGAAAAAGCAGAGGGCACGCTTTGCATAATTTCTTCCCCACGTAGATAGATCTATAATGCTAGCCACCATCATTTCACCCCTCTCAGAAAACAGTAGTCGAAGATGACGATGCGATTTTCTTCCTTACAAACACGCATGCACCACTTCCTCCGAAGTGTCGACTACGCTGCAAAATGTTACCAGAACTAAGGGATAAGTGTCCATGAAGCGTCAACACTCTTACCCTCCTGGATCCATATCATGTGACATAATTACTACGATCTGCCAAACTTGAGGCTTAGTAAAACCATCGAATCGGAAAATCATATTATGGCGAAGATGAAGCTCCTCATCAGACAGCTTTTCACAGCTAGGGCCAATATTACATATTGAGGGGGACTAGAACAAATGAACAGAACGTGAACAATTTTTTTTTTTTTTTATTTTACAGATTTGAGATATCAACCACAGATGCTGCATCATGCCCCAAACAAAGCACATTGCTTTCTTGCATGTGGGGGAATAAGCTTCACCAGCATCTCAGCAGGCACTCCCTTGAGCTCTGCATCACAATAGCCGCAAGTACATCATAGCATTATTTGAGCCCCTTCTACACAAAAATAACACCACAAAATTCATCCGAGAACTAATTCTTTACCATTTGCCTTGAAGTTGAAGAGCGGGGGGAGGAAACGCCCGTTTGGCAACCGAGTGTTTGGGTCACGCAGCTCATCAAAGAATGGATGAACAAGAGCCTCGAACTGTATTCCATAAATCACAGTTAAAAATCTCTTACATATGGTTCAATTTCAATTGCAATGCCTAAGTTAACATGATCTGTAAAACGTCCACAAGAGAAGAGAAGAAATAAGCTGGGCCATAAATATTGATCACATGAAAATAGAACGCTTTGGTAACTTCCTCGAGGAAATTTTTAAAGCTAAGCGGGACACTGATAAACCAGCAACCATGCTTTGTAATAAAATCCAGAGAATGATGCATAGTTCTTATCCTATAAAAGTTTGAATACAATCACTTTTTTTATTCGTGGTGACAGAATGCAAGCACGTTTAGGTTGTCATGTATGCGTATACTCACAGCTGTGCTTCGAAGATTGGGAGAGTACTGTAGTAGTCTTGAGACAAGATCCACAGCATCAGATGGCATACGTTTGTGAAAGATCTAACGATGAAGGTTCACATGCGTTAATATTTTAGAATGAATTTATTTATCATAAATTTCTTTGAATAAATCTTTGTGAATAGATAGACCAAAATAACATTGCAGTACCTTGTGCCAAGGATGAGCTTTAATTTGCGGGAATTTGAATTCTGTGTAATTAGGATTCATGCACTTGATTTCTTCCCTTGTCGGTGTACCTAAAACCTACACAAAAATCCCACAGATTTTCGTCAGTGATGGAGGGCTATAAAGTAGCATCAAGAGGAAAGAATGAAATGAATAAACTTTATCAGGAAATAGACAAGATAGCGCTCATCATAAAGCCAGGATTCTATGTTTTAAAATGATAGCAATTCTCATCCAACAAAATTATTTATTCTCTATAACTCATCTAACCTTGATAATTTCAACAAGCTGATCTACTCCACTCTCGCCAGGAAAGAGAGGCTGCCAGAAATTACCAGTGTGTTTAGTGTCTGTATAGTTATGAACACTCAATTATCCAAATTAAACAGACATAAAGAAGCTAGATACCTGACCAAGCAATAGTTCACCAAGTACGCAACCAGCAGACCAGATATCAATGGCTGTAGAGTACTCAGTAGCGCCAAAGATGAGCTCAGGAGCTCTATAGTACCTAGAACAGATGTATGATATGTTCGGTTCCCCTTTTACCTGTCAAATTGATGCCAAATTCAATCATGAGAAAATATCAGATAGCCAATGACAACAAACAACATTGTTTTAGATTATAATATACAAACCAACACTTTTGCACTTCCAAAATCACATAGCTTCAGCTGCTGCGTGTGAGGATTAACCTGTTACAAGAAAACACATGGAAGGAGACATGCTCATATTAGTCTATCAGATAAGAAAGTAAGTTTAATGGACAAAACAAAGCCAAAAGGCCAGCAAAAAAACACTACAACTTCTGCGTATGTCCAAGTTGATGTGGATTTCATTTGAAAATTTCAAAAGTTGAATAATTGCGGAAGTCAAAGTGAACCTTAGCAGGTTCATATAAAGTTTCAAGATACAAACTCTTCACCGCGTTCAGGAATTACATTTGTATCCTCTACAACTTATCTGATCACAAGAAATCATTTCAGCATTCAAATATGCCCTCTGAAATCTGTTTCATCTGATTGACACCATAAAAGATAAACGCCAATTCGTTTGATTTCTTCTACAATAATATGGCAACTATGCACCCTTGCAATTTTGAATATTCCAAGTTGACATATTACATCCATCTCGACATCCAAATACATCTCCAAAGATGAAGCAGCATTATAAATTTAAAAAAAAAAAAAAACAAAGCCAATTTGTGATATCAATCTAGCCATATCATATTGATGGCTGAAGAATCGACAAGCTGGAAAAACCAAGGTAGATATTAAAGAACACTGATATGAGTTGCACTGCATAGACATACCAGTAGATTTTGAGGTTTTATGTCCCTGTGACAAACTCCAATACTGTTGTGAATGTAAGCAAGTGCTCTACATATCTATAAATTTGAAGAACGAAAAGGAGTTATCAGAACCACTACAATCTATATAGTTAGACACACACCTATAGATATATATATATATATATATATAAAGACACAAACCCGGTTTAATATATTACAAGGAAGTATACCTGGTAAAAATAAAGTTTGACATATATCAGCGGCATCCTTTGATTCATTTTATTATAGTGTCTGATGACCCGATGGAGAGTCTCAGGAACATACTCTAATACCAAGTTCAGGTAAAGTTCCTCTTTTTCAGTTGTTGAAAAGAAACAATGCTTCAAAGATACGATGTTAGGGTGGTCAAGAAGACGCATGGTTTGCAGTTCTCGGTTCTTGTACCTCTTGTCTTGAAGAACTTTTTTTATAGCCACAGTTTCACCCGTCTCTAAGCACTTCGCCTTCATAACAATGTCAAAACAGCAGATGTAACAAAGTTCCAATAATAGCCAATTACAAGCCGCCAAGAAACTGTAGAATAAAGGACCAACCTGGAAAACTACTCCAAAAGATCCATGCCCAATAACATGCTCAGCCATGTAGCTTATTGTCTTCAGTCAAGTGATGGTAAAAATGTAAGCATTATGTGTAATGAACGGAGTATGATTTTCCTCATATTCATTGAAGGTACAATAAAACTATGGAGCTGTCCAGTAGAACAGATCAAATGTCATGACTTACCTGCTTTGGCTGGCCATTTTTACCACCAATGGTGGTGACAATTATATGTCCTGTTTCAGTCCCGTTTCCATCTATAACAATTGCTTCCATTTCCTGAACATTTTGTTCATGTGAGTTTTAACATGTATAGAACGAATTATTACAGGAAGATAATTTAACTTTTTAGTCGTTTGTCTTTACCTTGTCGTCCCTAATTTTCATGTCATTCATCTCGGCAGGCAACCTATCAATGCCATTTGTTTTTGCGTTTACATCTATTAACTTAGAAGCATGTGCTGCACCCCCTGACGCCATCAACTTGAAAAAGAAGATCAGGTAGATTCTCTTGCTGATTCAACTGACTAGTGTATAGGTCATAGAGAACCTCTAAAGGGAAAATGACCAATAAGGAGCAACCTAAGGATTCAGCTGCAAGCTTCACTTTTCAAGTTTTACCTGTAATACATGAAAAATCATCAGTAGAATTGAAAGAAAATGAAACCGATGACAAGTTGGTCAGACAGAAACATACTTGAAGACGCAAACTCTTACTCAGCACAAAATTAGGGGGCCATGTAGCCAATATCCGAGAATACAAACTTTATGTGGCTTAATTACCATACGGAGAGGAATTCATGACACGTTAAAATGTAATTTCATAAAGCAGTGACCGATTAGATTGGTCGATGTTGAGCTATAAGTGAAAACATTCATTTACCCACTCAAGGCAGGGGAGAATCAGACTGCTCCTCACCCGCTTAGCCATCGAAAGGATAGGGTGAAAAACCGTCAATACAAAAATTCAGAATCGAGGAGTTTCATCGCTGCCACTGCACTTTCTAGACAACCAGTACAACTTTTTTTCTTTAAAAAAAAAAAATACAGCCTAATTAAGGACCTAGAATTCAGACATGAAAGTGAAAAGCCTGTTAAGCCCAAAATAGAGAAGCGAGAAAGCTCAGAAATAGCTAGACAAAGAGCAGGACAACAATGAAACCCTGTTGTATGGAATGCCAAGGAGATTCAGCCGAGAGAAAGAAAGAAATGGCCAGGAGAAGTCAGAAGAGAAACTCACCAGTGAAAGGGGGAATGCAGGGGAAGGGAGCGGAAATGGATCTACGGTGTTGAAGTGCTTGGGGTTAGTGAATCGAATCCTATCCTATCCCTGGGATTCAGAGAGCAGAGAGGAAGAGAAGGGACGAAGGCAAATAATGGACAGTGATGGTGTGTGTTGCTTCTTCTTTGGTTATATTTCGTATGGTGGAAGGTGCGTGATGTGATGAGGTGGCAGTCAACATAGGGGCCCAAACCTCTATGCATTTCTGCTGCTCCTCAATCATTCTTTCACTCTCTTTTTAACTTTCTACAGTCTCTTCTTTTTGACCGTTCAATCTCCTCCGTCCCATCTCCATGCTTTTGATTTCCTTTGTGCCTCTTTTATTTTACTTTTTATTTTAAAGGAATCACAACTAAGTATCTCATGATTAATGTCAAATCGATATCTTATCATAATCCTGTCCTTTAGTATTGAAAATCTTTATAACAAATTATTTGATATTATTTTTCAACGTTAAATCTTTAATTGTCACTCTCCTTGCTAATCATTAACCTGTGAGACTCGTGCGGTGACAAAACGATATAATCCATAGTAAATTATTGAGGAGCCTGAATAACCTCTGTAATCTATGAAAGAATTTCAATAAAAACCTTAGACTATAGTTATTTGAATTTAAAATATCTAAATTTTTAAAATTTCATTTCAAAATACTAATTTGATATTAAATTTTTTAAAAAATGATAAAATTATTCCTCATTTAAATTAATATAAAAAATATCATGTTTTACTCATTTATTTACTTACAAAATGTTATTAATTATCTTACTTCACTTATTCATTTTTCTAAAATGAAATCAAATAAAAGCCTGCTAATGACCAAGTAAAGTAGGACGATAAGTAGCAGTCTATAAGTAAATGAACAATATATAATATAAAAATTAATAAGTTGTCTTAAAATAATTTAAACATCTAAAATAAAAACAAGTTAGTTAGAGCAATGAACAACATTTTGCAAGTAAATTAATAAATAAAATATAAAATTTTTTTATTAATTTAAATGAGGGGCAATTTTGTTATTTTTATTAAAAATTTAATATCAAATTAATACATCTGATCTGCAATGAAATTTCATAAATTTAGAAGCTTCTAATTTAAATGAGTATGGTCCAAGTGTCTTTATTGAAATCCTACCATAATCATTTTTGAAAATTAAAATCATGGTTTTATAAAACTATATCCATAATCATTGCACTTGGATTTCAATTAGAAAAACTTGATATTAATACATGATGATGTTTTGATAATATTTTTAAAAAAAATTATTTTCCAAGTAGAGAAAAAAAAATTAATTTATGCAAAAGAAAGTTTTCAAGAACTAAATAAAGTTTGAGAAAATTGAGGGTGTTTAGTTAGCTTATGTGAAATTGAATTTGAGGAACCAAGTAGAGTTTAGGAAAATTGAGTGTGTTTAAATTTCAATGTTGTTTATATAGAAGTCTTTAATTATTTGGTCTAGAGAGTTATAATTTTTTTCTTAATATATTTCACATTATATATATTTGTTATGAACATATATCCTCCTATTAAAAGAATATTCAAGACATATATACATATTTTGTTATGAACAAATATCCTCTTATTAAAAGAATATTCAAGACAAGATCATGTATTAAATGTATGCATGTCTTCTAGTGGTGATTTAAATTTTATGAAAAATTAGCACGTTTTGTTACACCTAATCTCGTTGGTTGCAACATATATTTTTAGTTTTCACCCTTTATTATACTTTATTTGAATATAATTAACATTATATGATCGATGATAATTAAACATCCGCACTGCACATAGAATAATATGAAAAATATGTTTATTATTGCCTCCATTCAAAATGCAAGGTATTTTTTCATTGAATCTCACATCCACTTAATTAGTTAATTATTTTTAAACTAATTTTATATTTTTATATTTATTCTTATTCAATTAATAAAGTATTTCACTTAAGAATAAATATAAAATGGTTCATTTATCATGGAATTTTTAAAAAACCACATTAATTATATCTTAAAACACTAAAAATATTTCATATTTTTTAATATCAAACTTATAAAAAAATTAGTTTATATTTTTTAAGAAAGGAAGTACAGTTTATTGCTACATGACAGAGTTCTGTGAAAAAATTTGTCATGAATGATGGATGAGAAATATTTAAAAACTGTTGCACTAGTATATCACATATACTGAATCACAATAGTGCCGCACTAGTCGACATAGCAATAGAAAGAGCATTGGAGGATTCTGGCTGAGCTTGGTAAAAATAATATAAAAACCATTTGATGAAAGATAAAGTTGAAACTTGAAATAAAAGGATTTAAATTTAGTAACTATTTCGTACAGGCACTCTTAAGTTGTTGAAATTTAAATTAATAATTTAGATGAGTTCACTCGTTCATTAATCTCAAGTAAAATATAAATTTAAATTATTGATTTGAATTTCAATGGTTTAGATGATATAAACACTCAATGTATGTATTAAGTACAAGCATCAAATTCAAATCTTGAAGAGGAGGGTTAAGGGTCATTTTTATCCCCCAACTTTACCCGAAAGGTTATTAAGCACCCTAAACTTAATTTTGAGTTAATTTTATCTCTCAATGTTATAATTTTACTTCCTTAACACCCTAACCTTAATTATTCATTAGTAAGGCCTACATTTTTTAAATATTTTTTTAATAATAATGGGATTCACTTTATATTTTTTTAATTATATTTGCTCAGACCCAAGCTCTCTCTCACCTGGTCAATCGTTTAAACTTATTCATCTAACATTCCTTAATTGTTCAACCTCAAGTCCTCAACCTATCCTTACTAGTCACCACTGTCTAACATCTTTAATGATTCTTCTTCGTTGTTGCCATTATCCACTACACTCGTTGTAACATCTGAAGTTTTAATCTAGAATTTATTACTAATTAAATAAAAATTAGTTTAAAAAAAGTAATTAATTTGATCATGTTTTTTTATTGTTATTGATATTTTGGATCATTGGATAGCTCCAAAATTGAGCTAGGTCGAAGTTAGGTCAAATCAGGACAAGACAGCAAGATACAAGTGAGATTAGTCTCACTGTGTATTATGCCGCAACGTAATGCCCGGTTCTAAAAAAAAAAAGGTGCGTGAATCAATTTAGAATTTCATATGGGATTTTGTGAGAGTGGGGAGCACAAAGAGGGATCTTTAGTAGTTAAGCTAGGGCATTTAGGCAAGATTAGAACTTGATTTGGGTTCTTAATTATCTGGGTAAGCTTGCTAACTCCCTCTCTTCATTCTCTAGTCCATTTTTAAAGGGGTGAAAGATTTAAAAGTTTTGGGTTTGAGTCAGGGAAGATTATACCTAAACCTTAAGGATTGTATAGGATGATTGGAGCCTAATTAGAGTTTTCTTGAATTGGATAATTGTTAATATAAAGCCTAGTGTTATTTAGAATAAATTAGATGGAGCCCTGGTTAATTTATAAGATTTTAAATAATGACAAGTTGAGATATATAAGTTGTGATAGAGTTGGAGAGAAGCTTGAAGAAATGGTGTGAGCTAGTTGTAACCTTAACTAGCTTATTTGTTGAGGATAAGAGCGAGAAGTGTAACAGCCCTCACCCCACCCTCCATGAAGTCTTTTAGATTAGGTTCCAACACTCCTCACGGAGCCCGAACCAGCTTTTCCCAAAGTGATACTTAGGTTATTTCTCACCTCACCAAAGAGATCTTTTGGAGCATTTTCAGACTTAACCTCAACTTCTTTAAGGTAGTAGAGGTTGGAGGTTCAGGTCTTGGTTGGAGGATCAGTGGTATCACTTGGCTCAATGGTAACAGGTTTAGCCTCAACTTTATTAAGTATGAGAAGTTGGAGGATCAAACCTGAGAAGGCTCCCCTTATAATATTTATTGTAAGAGAATAATCTCACATACTACTGTAGGGAAGCCTTGTCTCTTGATGCTCTCTTAAGAGGGGTTGTCTCATGTGGATCCTAAGGAGAGGTGTGTCCAGCACAGCAAAAGTTTAGGGGAAGAGGCCCTTAGTAGGCTAGGGCTATTACAAAAAATGGGAGATTTAGGGCGATATAAGTAGTTAATAGGGTTCATGCTAATTAAAAATTAACATACAGTACTTATTGTTGTAAATTGAGGTGTGTGGAAAACTTATGGTAATCTAAGAGGAGATTTAGTACCATGAGGAATCCTTTTTGTAACAAAAGGGTTAAGATAACTGAATAATTTACATTATTTATTATATTGTATAAGTTATTCACAAGTTATTTTTGCATGATTAGTTGTATATACATTTATAAATTTTGTCAAAGCTAAGTATTTTAGAAACTACGTAAAGTGTTAATTTGTGAAGTTTTATGTTTTTAAAGTAAGTAGTAAGATTCATTATATTTGTTTAGAAAGTGTTTGCGCATGATTAAATGAAGATATATAGTGGAATGCGGGATGTTAGGGGATAAGACGTCACCCTAGTGAAATCAGTAGAGATTAAGTCCATATGGCACTGCTAGCACCTCAAGACGTCAGGTACAGATCATATTTCTCCTTAGTACTCAAAAAGGGTGTGGTGTTTGAGAGTTACTCTCCTAAATACCTAGAAGAGTACGGAGTTAGAGATTATGCTCCTTAATATTCGTAAGATGTGGTGTTGAAGTAACAACACCCCAATTACTTGTAATAGGGCAAACCTATAGTCTAAAAGTAATTTAAGATACTTTCACTGGATAGTCCTACCATGGATGGTGAGTTTATGGATCATACATATGGTTTGGTTTCGTGAAATAGCTTACCAGTTCGATTGAAAGTATTTAAAGATTGAATGATTAGCGATCATGTATTTTATTGTGGTGAATCATATATGGTGTGATTGTTATGCATATTTTAAAACTTGTTTATAACTTGGCATGTTAATCGATAATGTAGATTGTCTTAGTTACTGAGATTTTTATCTTACCTCGTGGTTATTATTTTACAGGTTCTGTCGCTGAGCTTGAGTAAATGAAGAAATCGGGTAAGGGCTAAAATATTTGATATGTTACAATTGCAATGCTCAATTTTGTTTTGAGTTGTGTGTATATAAAGTTAAATATATAAGAATATGAGTTGTCAACTAGGAATGAATAATATTT